TGCCCTGTGGGAACGAGACAACAGAGACAAAAGTGAGGTGAAAAGATTAGAGCAGGGGAAAGTAACGGGAAAGAATAGGGGGTTCTGGAGAGGAGCATGAATCTGAGGAAAATTGAAAAGCATCAAATTTCTGATAATGACAAAAAGTCCCCAGAGTAGCATTTCTTGAGGAAAGATACTGCATACTTCATGCCATGTTGGGGTAAGAGTCAGTTAAAAGGTCCAAGACATTCCTGTTACGTGACTTTTCAAACAGTTGCAGGAGTTTATATTTCTCCCTGCTATATTTTCTCTCCCATGCTGCAATAGAAGATAAATGAGAGAGTGCACACACACGCACACAAAGAACAAGCTCAAACTCAGTCATGGGTTAGGTTTGTTAATACACCAGGCTGTTTCAAGGTGTCTCTCCCAACAATTCAGTCCTCAAATCTCATTTTTTCTCCCTCCAAAATGAGTTGAACTCAGTTTTCTATGTGCACATTGCATATGTGCCTCCCATATGCAGCAGGATGGTTATAGCTTTTGGGCCTTTTGCCCTAGTGGGAGGTCTGTGAACCCCAAAGGAGGCTCTGGTGTACCTGTGAATGTGATTCCAATCAGATGAGGCTTCACTGTCACTCAGGAGCTTGGTGACTAGCAATAAATATTCATAGAATTGATTAGACATTAATTGCACAAATCACCACCTCTTCAGCCAACCCCAGGAACCTTGCAGCCACCCACATAGTTAAAGAGGCAGCAGAAAGTGTCTTTTCTGTAGGTCTCTTAAGGTTAGCCTAGTGCCTCCAAAGGAGAAGATGACTGTCAAATGCCTCACCTCTCAATGTCCTTTAGCACAGCCACCACCATCCTTCCCCACATTCTGCCCCAGGTGAAGGGCTGTGCTCCCTCTGGTGTAGCCCTATACTGCCTGTAGACCTCACTGCAGTATGTCCTGCTTATCTCTCCCCACATACTGCTTGCTGTCCCACCCCACAGGGACTGCCCCTCCCTGCTCCTCTGTAATGTCCATTCTTTCCTTACACACTGTTCTGCCAGGGCCCTTCTTCAAGGAGAGGGCAAGGAGAGGCGTTGGACTGGGATGCATCTGGATTGTGTGTTTACCTGTGTATAGGCAGATATGCTTGGGTATGTGTGACTGTACGAGTGTGCAGGCCACAGCACATTTACACATGTGTCTATACCTGTGTTTGTACTCAGAAAAGGACATGTAACTCCACTAATTCAGCAAGGTAGAGGAGCAAAGACATGCTGTGCTAGCAGGGTATATGGTCCTCTCCCTGCACATGCTGTCTCCTTGAGGGCCCAGATATGATGTGATGGTCACCTTGCACCACCTCCACTCTCCCCTGGAAGGACTGAGCTGGCATGTCTAGTGGCACTACAACATACATAAGACCCAGACTCCTTCACCCTCCCTGACTCCTTCCTTGTAGTCCCCTCTATCCCACCAAACACAGACTCCTTGCAGCTAACTCAATAGCATCAGCCTTCAGGAGCAAACTGGTGTCTGTGCTGTGTACAGACTCACACGCAGGCTCACACACAGAGGAATGTGATAACCTGGGACAGGCCATATTCATCTTCATTGCAGGGAGGCAGCAGGATTGGTAATGGCATGGGAAGATGAGACGGCTGCATGCCCCTGTCACAGGCACTTAGAGCAGATGTCACAGCAGTGACACTCCAAGACACCCAGGTCAGGTCTCAACCCCAGTCTGCCTGGGCTTCTTCCAGCCCCCAGACTGACCATCTGTTAAGCTGGAGACAGGAGTGAGCCAGGAAAAGGTGCTGCAGAGAGGCTACAGTGCCTCTGAGGGCCATCCTGCCCTCCAGTTTTGTGCTCTGTCTTGTTTATGTGAAATACACAATCAAAGAAACCTTTAAGAGGGAGGAAGTACTGCAGTAGGTCCCCCACCCTCAGCTAACAAGCTGTTTTCCAGCCACCAAACGTAAGGGATGGGAGACAGGAGGGACTGTTCCACTGGTCCCACAGTTGACTGCCCTCTTCAAACCAGCTCCAATACAGAGGGGCTGTGCTTCCTTCCATACAAATTGCTGATCTCAGAGGGTGTTACAGCTTTCCCCCATCCCTCTGAGGCCCTTGTAATAGCCTTTTATTCCTTCAGGTTTATGGTACAAGCTGGCAAACCTGTTGATCCCACTTGGTGGCAGTCCCTGCACTGCTGTGGAGGGGTGAGATGCAGGGTCTCACACGGTGTATCACAGAGGAACTTAAAAGGGTGGTAGCTCCACTCCAGATAACCCATTTAGGTAGCATAAAGGAGCTGCTTGGTTTTCCCTTTGCACTGAAAGGTGTGTGACACACAGCTGAGTAGTTTCAGGCCTGCCAGGGATGGACAGGATGTCAAATGAATGCTACACCACTGAATACCGCTCCTGACCAGTGCACTGGCAGAGCCTTGCCTTCCCACAGGTCTCCACCTGTTCAAGAACTTTCATCACCAAGGACTTTCAGAGCTTTTCCACCCACTGGAAAAGGACAGGTTCAATCCAGGTTCAGCCTGGAGAAGAGAAGGCTCTGGGGAGACCTTAGAGCAGCTTCTAGTGCCTAAAGGTGGCCTACAAGAAACCTGGAAAGCGACCTGTTGCAAGGGCAGGTAGTGACAGGACAAGGGGGATGGCTTTAAACTGAAAGAGGGGAGACTTGGATTAGATATAAGGAAGAAATTCTTCCCTGTGAGGGTGGTGAGGCCCTGGCACGGTGCCCCGAGAAGCTGTGGCTGCCCCATCCCTGGCAGTGTTCAAGGCCAGGCTGGACGGGGTCTGGAGCAACCTGCCCTAGTGGAAGGCGTCCCTGCCCATGGCAGGGGGTTGGAACTGGGTGAGCTTTAAGGTCCCTTCCAACCCAAACGAGTCTATGATTCTGTGATTCTATGCCTTTTGATCAGCTCTGAATCCGTAATTCAGTCTAGTCTGTCTCCACTTGTACACTGCCCCTCCCCTCCACCTCCCAGAGCTTTTCTCTACCCTTTGCTAGATGCCTAAGCTGTACTAAATGAGACTGCTGGCTGCTTCATCTCTGTTGCTGTAAACAATTTCTAGAATGCCTTTTTAAAATGCATTAGCCTTCCAGAAAGAGGCTGATGAACAGGGGACAGGAGGAAGGGAAGAAGAGAGGAGGAGGCAGGATGCAGTGATGCGGTCTGTTTCACTCATCTGCGGCTTTCTCCTCCTAGTCCTTTTATGAAAATAGATGGACATCTATTATGAAAACAAATTACTGGGTGTGCACAGGAGTCCTTAGGCAGGCAGGGAATAAGTGTGAGTCTTCTGCATGTATGTCTGTGTGAGCACATACACTGCCTGTGATGAGAAAGGGGAATACATCTACCAGATACATAGCAATCTGTAAGGTTCAGTACTCAAAGGGCTCTGTGTGTCTGTGTGTTCCTGTGTGTGGTGCTGCAGTTGCCCTCAGCAAAGGGAATGTGTGATGGGGTCCAACAACACATTCCCTGCTGGTGCCATTCTAGTGGCACAAGTCATTCCCATCACAAATTTGCAAGGGATTCGAGCACAGATGTCAAAGCACACAGATGAGTGGATGGCCAAGCTTTATAGACCTGTCCTGAAGACACCATGGACAATATCAAACACACTGGTATTCAGTAGGCATGAAGTCAAAGATACCACTTGGACAGTGCACATTGAATTGCTGGTGAACAGCATCATGAGCCCATTGTGCTCATGGCACCAAGGACATGCCTGGAAATGAATTTTCTGTGCTGGAGCCAAGGAAAGGTGATGGAATCTCAAACTTACTGTCTCACTCCCTACCTCAGTCTCTAGGAGAGAAGAAACCTGGTTCATCTCCTTCTGACTCTTGTGGTTATTTTGATGGATGGAAATTACACAATTGCCTGTCTCTGTGCATTGTTTTGCCTCTCACAAGATGTCCTTCCCACTGTGTCTAGGAAGAACTCCACTCTGCAGTGCATGGGTATCTGGGGGAAGAAGGGAGGGAAAAGGACATAGGCAGCCTGAAGAGAACTACAAGGATTTGGGATGAGGAGGGTCTGGGAAGAGCTTTGATAGTCCCTGCTGTCCTAGGAATGATCCAGGTAAACTCGAGGGAGAGCTTAGACTGTACAGATTGTGAGTAGAAGAGAGACTCAAGGCTACATATTGATGGCTTTTGCCTGGGAGGTGAAAGAACAGATATTTCTCACCCAAACCCTAGGCTCTGAAGCATTTTTCATCAACCAAGTGCATATTTACATTTCTCTTACATATATTGGAGATGTTGCCAAGGGGGCATATTCTGACTTCACCTCCCACCTCTTGACACGACCCTGCCTCCCTGCACTGAACCCAAAGCAAGAGTGAATGTGCGTGTAAGTACATGTCCTCTAGAGCTATGGGGAGCAAATTCACTCTATATCACATCAGTGACAAAGAGGTTCAACACAGGAGACATTTGCAGGCGAGAGCAGAAGAAAACCTTCACGTTTCTTCTCCAGGGTGAACGCGTGCTTCAATACGCTCCCTGCCTCTTGAAATTAATTCAACATTCCTGTGGCTTGGATAAAAATAACCAGAATGAATAATCAGTCTATGCTGGCCCTGCTGCAGATTGCCTGGTAGATAGAGCCCTCTGCAGGAAGAAAAAAGGCAAGAGACAGACAGCACCAGTACCAGAAGACACCACAAAAGGTGACAGATAAAAACCAGAGCTTACCACATCCCTTAACACTGCAGGTGTAATTGTCTATAGTGAGTCTCTGGTATTTGCCTCTGTGCTGCTCCTGGTTTGCAGTGTTGCATCCCTTGCCCCTTTCCCCTCATCCCATTACCCACTCCTCCCTCCCATGCTGCCCAACATCTGCCTGCTTGCACCACACATTAACCTGCCTGCATTTTGGGTGCAGTGCAGAGCTGCAGTGGTGCTCAGGCTGCTTTGCAAGGCACAGGAACACAGCACTCCTATCTCACATCCTCTGCCTTTATCGCTGAAATGATCATGTGGGCCTGAGTTCTGGGCTTGTTTCAAGCACTTTTATTTCTTCCTTTACACAAGAGACAAAAAACACCCCACTTCAGACTCCAGATGAAAACAATGTGTGTAGATGGGTTAGCCTCAGTGTGTGTGCTTGTGTGTGTGGTGTGCATACAGCCTTCTGGCTGCATGCCTTTCAGATACAAAGCTCAGGCCTCTGGGGTGGTGCAAGGAAGCAACCTTTCTTGAGGAGCCATCAGCCAGGAGGAGAGCTAGTTGTCTGGGTTTCTTCCCTAGGGAAACCTGTGGTGGTCCCTGAGTCTCAAAGCAAAAAGACAAAAGACCCAGAACAGCTTCCCTGGTCCTCCAGCCTCTCTACACTCAGTAACCCCTTATCTCCCTATCCAACATCTTTAACTTCCTAAAAACTATGACTTAGTTACAGATCAGGGTCCTCCCAGGATTACAGCCCTCATGGCTATAGAAAGAGGTAAAAAGGGCTCTCTTCTGAGCAGAGGGATTCTTATCTTCCTTTGGTCTCTGGTTTCACAGTGAGATCTTAGATATCAGTGGCTCCTTCTGTACCACAACTACACATCTGTTCAGGGAAAGGAAACCACTGGGGTGCTCTGCAACTGATTGGACCATGCTTGGTGGCTCTGAGAGCACCTACATGCCTCCTCAGAAAAATACCCAGGCCTGGTTTGATGGCAGGAGGGGCTGGAACATTCTGAGGATGTTCTTGACTCCTCTCAGATCTTGTCCTACATGCCTGGAGCTATATAGGAGAACCGAAAGGCCAGCTGCTGTTGAGCCTTTACATTTGGACATGGGAAGCGCCATGCCCACTGCTCCAACAGTCCTCAGTGGATTGCACGCTGTGCCTCTGCCTTCAGTTTGGAAAAGGAAGAAGTAAATCTGGCAAGTTGTCCTATCAGTCATCTTCCTGCCAAGTGGGAGGCAGAGGGAACCAATGCTCCCAAATTTCTTCACTGGAAGAGCCCAGCATGGGAGGGAAGCTGTCCAACAATTATATCTTCCTGCTGTCAGTGACCAGGTCAGAACTCAGTTTTTGCTGGCAATCTTTTTCTTACGGGCAGAGACCAGATCATAGAAAGGATCCTGTGTGATGCTCATCCTGGAAATAAGAGCAAATGGTAGGAAAAGTAAGAGACTTAATGCTGCACAGGCAACCTAACTGAACTTGAACTGAATTATATACAGACCCACAGCAGAGCATTTAGCTGTGGCTAAAGATTCTCCAAAAGGGACCTTAAAACTTTGAACTTAAGAGGCACCACAGTTGCTAGACTGCAAATAGTTCCTTCCACCCCCTTTTTCAGGCTTTGGTAGCCAAATAAACTGCTTGACTGTTTGTCCCTGGGGCTGAACAAAGGCAAGCTCTGGCCTCCTTTTCTGGTCTCCTCACCGTATTGCCTCAATCCACTCATCACGTTCTGCTGGTGTGGTTGCTGAGATCTTGTAGGACTGATGCTTGCCTTCGACCACCTTTCCATCCGCATCTGTTTTGCAGGCTTTGATCTTCTGCCCTTTGCAGTTGGGAATGAAGAGTTCAAAGCAGTTCTGTCAGAAAGGGAATAAAATAGAGCAGTAGGGGAGGACAGGGTGGAACAAGGAGACTATACTGCCTTCAGCCATGGGGATAGGTTGAAGGTGAAAAAGGAGGAGAACATTCTGTCTCTGAAAGGCAACAGAACCTTTCCTTCCTCATCCCAAGAATCCCTCTATGAGTTAGATCTCCAGGCTACCCCTCTTAGATAAATACACCCTTCCTGTGAATGAATGGATGCTAAAACAGCCTTTATGGAGGGATGGAGCACCAACAGCTACCAGAAAACACCTTCTGATATCTGTCACTTTGTTCCACTCATGAAAATGTCTTCCCCTTTGAAGCTGATGCAACATCCTCTCTTCTGCCTGTCACCACACAGATAGAAGGTGATTTCAGAGACATGACACATCAAGAATGGGTATCCACAAAAGATGCACAGACAGAATGCCACTTCCTGGGCAAGTTTCCCAACACCACAGCACTGTCTAGTCTAAATGTGCTGTAACTGATTATGAAGAATCATTGGGAGAGAAACAGAACCCCCATCTCCTGGGTGATGGTGCAAAATGAGTAAGGAGTCAACTATGGGCACTCATCTCAGCCCCCCTATACACAGAGATGAAAACATTCAATAGAGCCAGGCAAAGGACAGCTCTTCCTTTACACCAGATCTTCCCTGATAAAATAGGACCATGTTTAAATACTATCATGTTTAGACAGGGGCACAAGGCAGTTTGGAATGGCACCTTCCCTCTGAGAAGCATGGTAAGACCCGAGAGCCTGTATTAGCAGAGCACCAAGCAAGGGAGACTTACTGGCTTTTTGGGATCATCCACCTTCCGGACTGATAGGTTCTCCAGGGGGATAATGCCCAGAGGCTCTTTGTCCTGAAGTCAAGGAAACACGAATTAACATGCAACATGCTCCCCACACCTATGCCACTATACAGAGCCTCTCTGATTTACCAGACATGTGCCTTTATGGGGGTGACAACAGCAGTGTATGCCTGGGGAGACCCCCTCTATTTACACAGTGGGGGGCTGAGTTAGCAGAAAATCACAGCAATGTCCAGCCTCCCTTCTCCTCAAGACCAGAGGAGAGGAAACAGTGCAGGAGAAGAGGTCTGAGTTCTGTCTGGGAGCATAGGGTAGTAGGCGAGGGTTGCCTTCCTAACCCTTCACTCTTCCCTGGCTCCAAAGAGGCTCATAACCACCCGCGACACCATTTCTTAACCAGGAATGAACCCTTTACCGTGGTATATTCAAAGTAGTAGAGGCAGTTATCGGCCAGAATGAACCAACGACGTTTCCAGGTTTTCACACGTCCTCCTAAAGGCAATGAGGTTCCAAAGCCATTAGTCACACATTTTGCTGTTTGTTCCCATCCCATTCCCCCTCAAGCTCCAGACACACACACACAGAGGGAGTCCCTCCCAGCAACCCCTGTAAATCAGCCCCAAGCAGGTGCTCGCTGCTGATGAGATGATCTATGGTGGACATGCACACACATAGGGAGCAAATTCTTCTCTGATGGGGCTGTGAATGAGGAGAGGTGAGAGAGATCTTTTTGGGCCCCCGTTTTGAGCAGACAGAGCCTGCAGGAGCTGGAAAGAGAGAGCAGGCAGCTGGTTTCAACAGCAGATGTCAGCCTCACCCCACCACAGCAGAGAGGGAGGGGAGATCTGTGGTGGGACGCAGGCAGGCATGCAGGGAGTTCAGAGGAGCCAAGGAAATCTTCTACCTTACCTAGTTTCAGGAGCCAACCCTCACGGTTAGGGTTGAAGAAAGTATGTGTGAGGTCATTTCCATCGTCCTCTGGTATGGAGAATGGCTCGTTCTTTATGCTCTCAAACAGATTCTGCACCAGAGCATTGGTGAGAGAAAGAAAGAGGGAAAGAAAAAGAAAGACAGGTTTCTGACCAAGCTTGTACACAGCTCTCCTAGGTCCATCTGCATCACCACTCTGTTTCCACAGGGTGAGATGAGTGAAATGGGGAGGGGAGAGGTCAGTGGGTATTGGGGTACAACAGCTCTCAGTCTGCAGCTCATAGGGCCTCAAGGGGGATCATCAGCTGTTTTCTTCATCCTGTGTCACAAAAGGGAGACTCAGTTTGGAAAGGCACAGACACAAAAATGTGCACCCATACCAAGAGAGGCTGCAGTGACCAAATCCAGCATGTCATATGAGTGCCACTCTGGGTAGTGCTAAGGCACTGGGAGGGCACAACATGGTATGACAGAGATTGCAGATGTGTCATTTAAGCCCTCGGTTGGTGGTGCCAAACACTGTGCTGAGAAATTTTATGTAGAAACCAATACACACATCTAAATGACAAGAAGTAGGCTCATTTCATAGACCCAAGGCCTTTGCACTGAGGGAACACAAAGGATGACATTCATAACAGCAGAATGACAGGGAGGCAGATTGCTAGTTTTCAAGAGATACAAAAATGTTGCTCATATCACTGGATATGCCATCATTTGTTACACAAATCCCAAGCAAAAATACCCCAACAAACTGAAACAACCACAGGCTCCTGCAACTTCCATCAAACAGCCTGAAAGAAATGGCACTCTGGAGAAAAATCCAAAGCCTTTACCCTGAGGGAATGCTGCTCAGCAAACCCAAGTGTGGGATGTAGGCATTCTCTTTGACACAAAACAAGTTACTCTCCCCAGGCTGGCTGGGTGAAGCTAAGCACATGTAGGCAGGCTGCCTACCTCTACCTTGCCTCATAGGGCAGGTCTGTGCCTGCTGAAGCTTTGGGAAAATGGTATCTCCAGATATGCTAATGGATGCATCCCCTGTCTCTGTCTCCCTTGATGTGCATCTTCATCCTCTGGGATCAGAGATGCCATGGACCTGCTGAGAGCTTTACAAATGCTGGAAGAGATGCTGGAAGAGACACTGATGCCCACTTGGGGCTTGTTGGTTCTACTCCCTCAAAGCTATACCCTGATGTAGGAGAGGTCAGGCACTGGTGTCCTGACTGATGTGAACACTGGAGTCAGCTAAGACATTCAAGCACGAGCAAGGGAAAGGGATTCATAAACTGGGCCATGGTGACATTGTCTCACACACACAGAGACACAAGAAACACAGTCCCCTTGGGACTAGGACTTTCAAAGCTGGCTGAAAGAGTCAGGTGCCCAGCTACCTCCCACTGAGGTGGGTGTCTCATCACACAGCCTCATACGTACATGACACACAGACACTCATAGCTCATGTCTTTTTCTCTCACACAGCTACAGTATCTGTCCCTATCTCACACGGACACACTTGAAAACACAAACAAACTGATACTGCTCTTCCCTGAATGGTTTCAGCCACATCTCTCTTGTACCATGTCCTCACCAACAAGCATATTACACTGAGACCTGTGGACCTTTGCTTCTCAGTGGACCCCAAGACAGAGGCAGAAGAGGGACTGATGAGAATATGGGAGGTATTCTTACCTTTAAGAGCTCTTCTGGCAAGTCCCCTCCATTGTCAATGCCTCTGTTGATGGACACAAACCTTTCAAAGGGGGGTTTGTCTTTCACATTGGGGTTGTGCAGGCTGGTGTTAAGCATGATGATAGAGAAGGAGAGTATATAACAGGTATCTGGCAACAAGAAAGAAAACCAGGATGGGCGGAAATTGTCTTAAAGGGCAAATCAATACACCTAATCAATCCTAACAGGTGGCTTTGTAGCCAGTCACTGGAAAACAGCACTGTTCTCTCAGCTGGAGGAGGAAAAGGAAGATGTCCCTTCTAATAGGAGAAAAAGGGACAGAGTTGTTCTCCTATGATAGAGGTGATTCTATCCCCTCAGGTTAATGGGGCAAGTTGGGCAGATCTGGTCTGACAATGACTTTGCCAACAGGAAAGTTTCTACAGACCCACGTCTGTCAGTGTTGTTGTTGCTGTGATGAGGTGTACTTCATGTGGAGCTGGATCACTTCTCAAGTCTATTTCCTGTGGGGATGGACTGGAGGAGGAGGACTGAAGACCTTCTGTCTATTGAAAAGCTTCACAGGAGCTGGGCTGCCTCCTTCAGCTTAAGGGGCAACATTCACACTTCCAAGCGATGCCCTCTGTGCTTTGTGAATGGAAGAGGAAGGCTCCTCTCTCTAGTAAACAGTGGAGCTCAGCTTTAAAGGCATTCTTTGCCCTATGCCTACCTGTGGACTGGAATACTCCTGGGTTACATTTGCAGTACCAGTTGGCAAAGGCCTCCATCATCCGATCAATCTTCTGTGCTTCCCCAGGCAGCCGGAAGCTCCATAGGAACTGTCTGTCAGAAGCAGCATGTCACAGAATTAGTCAGATTCGGAGCAAGGGACCTTTACCCCTTCCTTCAACCCGTGGGACACCATGAAAATAAAAGAAGTCATCCCATCACACTGGGGAGACAACACAGTGCTTGAAGCAAGAGCTCTGCTCATCTCTCTAGGGATTGCCTGGGCTTGGCACCCACAAACACCCTGAAAGCAGGAAGCAGAACCATGTATCCTGGAAATCATGGCTCTTCTTCCCTAGTGAGGAAGCAGAGACCTCAAGAGGAAATTAGGCCACCTGCCAGGAGGATGGCTTATAAGAAAACAAGATGCCCTAAACCAGGGTCACTTTGTCATTGTTTCAGCCTAGTAGGGTTTTTCAACCTTCCTGGATGGTAAGACCTAGTGGCTGAGCAGGCTCCTGCTCCATCCTCTGAATCCTGCATGCTCACTCACCTCAGTGCCTGCACCAGGTTGAGGTGGGCAAACTCGTGACATGCTACAAAGGCTTGGAGGATCTGGATGTTCATGGGGTCCCTGGGAGAGGATAGATGGAAAGAGTCAGAAGAGAGCTTTGAAGCTGCACAGTTTGAATGCCCCTTGGGGTGACAGCATGCCTCCAAAGGGCTTCCTAGTCCTGGCTGAGTCACTCACCTCCCACCCAAGTAATCCCCAATGGCTGCCTTGTTCAGGCCTTCACCCTTGTGGAGGAATTTGGCGATCTCCTGCAGGTCTGAGGACAATACCTGGTGCTCAATCAGGTACTGGATCCCCTGGGGAAGGAGAAGCAAGACAGTGAAGTAAGATAGCTCTGGGGGCTGATGAGAAAGTAGGACCCCAACACCTTGGTGTCAGCCTTCCTTAGCTCTCGTGGTGTTGCCTCCCCTGTTACTCCCCATATCTCTTTATGGTGCATCACAGCCATGTTCCCACCCTTACTCCATCCCTCTTCATCCTCCATGGTGGGTGAGCCCCAATTCCATTTCATCCCTAGGTTTGGATAAATGTTTCACTGGGATGGAAACTCAAGCAAAGAACAAAGGGCAGGTTAAAAGTCAAAAAAGGCAAAGCCAAAATAGTAATTTTTAATCAAAATATCTTAGTGTTCTGCTTCTAATTATATTTTTTTGTGAATTAAGTTAAAGGTTTTTTTTTTAAGAAGTTATAATTAAAAAAATATACTCAGACAAAAATTTGGACTTGAGACAACTTAAAATTACTTTTCCAGAGAAGTCTGCAGTCTTTTCAGCTCCATCCTCCCCAGCCAGTAATGTTGGAATATGTTTTTTAGGAAATATAGAGGTTCTGAGCTGGGCTGTGAAAAGTCAACATCCTGTGTTAGAGGGAACTTCATGATTTTCAAAGTCACAGAAAGTTGAGGTTTTGTGCAGATTCTTAACAGTATCTAAAACCACTGTGACTCTTCAGACCACATTGCAATTCTCCTCACAAAATGCAATAAAGGAATGAAAATTGTTTTAGATCCATCAAAATGTTCTACTTCAACAGAATCAATTCACTTTGCCTTGTAATATATAAAAAACTATTTTTAAAATGCCCCAAAGAAAAAGCCATTTCAAAAGAAGGAATTGAAATATTTCTGAGATTTTTTCCACACTATTTCCCTTCTTTTTCCCCAGACAGATTTTCAGTAAGATCAGTTTAATTTTGCAAAGCATTGCAATGATAAGGGGGCTCCATTTTCAAGAAGAAAATGTTTCTCCCCAAAGGTTTTGCTCAGCCAGAATCCTAATGCTTACCTCCTCTAGCCTCAGGAACTCGCCCTGAGACCTTGGAGATAGGAAGTCATTTGAAGTATCAGCACTGCATGGATGAAATGCAATCTTAGCAAGGAGGGGCAATGAAAGTTCCTTGCATTGCAGCACCTCTCAGCCTAGGGCATGTAGTAAAAGGGAAGCAATAAACAGATCTGCATAATAAAGACATGTAGCGCAACTTTCCCACCAGGCTGATTGGCACTGAATTAATAAAGCTAAACTGGTTTGGGGTCAGAGCTAGTTCAGGTACTTCTGCACAGCATAGCACAGTGCCACAGAGAGAGATGCCTCTGGGGCCTCAAACCAAGGTCAGACAGAAAGACATGATGAAACCAGCCCTAAGTATTGATATCACTGCTGTGAGACAGCTCCCACTGGCAGGGGGATGTACAGAGGACTGGCAAGCACTCCAGCTGTGGTGTGGACATTGGGGAAGGTATCTTGAGGATCTCAGCAGGGTAAAGGAGGAGGAGGCATGAAAAGCTGTCACTCAGCCCAGCAGCCACCGAAGATGCCAGCTGTGGTGGTTAAGCTGACAAAAAGCAATCATTCAATTGCAGCTTGTGGTTTTCCTTACTGAGCTCAAATAAATGGTCCTCCGGTGAGGAGGAAGGAAGAGGAAACTGTGTTGCTCGTATCTTCTCTATTTCATCATGACAATTTTAGAGCTTTCTGCAGGGGGCTGAAAGCTGTGGAGCCTGGACCCCACTGGTCAGAGTCACAGAAAGTGGAAAACCCGGATTCACTCCACTGTCCAACCAGTACTACCAAAACTGTAACTACTTCCAAAATGTTGGAGGCAGCTTGTTGTCTTCTGTTCTGAATGAGCCAAGGAATCTGACACACTCTCAAAATTCCCCTTCTCACTTCATCTCTCTCCACCACACTATGGCCAATTCTCACATCAAGAAGAGAGATTTGGCTCTCTTAACACATTGGCAGTTTTAAACCACCCTCCCTCTATTTCTTAGTTTTGGGTTGCATGTGATGGGATGGCCTATAGGCATATGATGGGGGGATGGGGGTCAACACAGCTTGATCATATCAGAAGACTATATTCCGGGACAGGATGCTACTAACTAGAGCCCTAGTGAGATAGGAAACCATACTCCCATGCCGCAGTTCCTTTAATACGGGCATCTGCATGTGGATGATCTTTCTCCCAGCTTTTTCCCCATAGGTGAAATGAGCAAATCCTACCTTTGCAGGGTCCATGTTGAATTTCTTCCTGCCCAGGGACAGAAGTTTGTCCCTCTGTGACAGTTTGCTGCAAACAAAAAGAAGGAAAATAAAACTTAGAATAAAAGGCCATGTTTCAATTCACTCACAAAGTAATTGAGATTTCTCAAGGACAGCTGTCTGACTATCCAGGAATAAAGAAAAATCTCAGAGGAGAGAATGGTATTCCTGGCCTCATTTCCCTCTCCTTGTTGTAAACCACATCCCAGAGGTGTTTCTGTTTTCTCAACATCAAGAGAGAGACTTTGTAAACAAAGGAATACTCTTCTTGTCCCACTTGCCTGGTCTGCTTCCCAGGGTTATTGTCTGCCTCTTGCCTCTCATCTGCATTTTGGAAGCACTCAATCTCTGCAAACACTTCAGCAATTTGTTCCTTCAGCTTCTGCAGAAGAATGAAGAGGAGAATGAAGGTGATGGAGGAAAAACCAGCAGACACGTACACAGCAAGTCTGACTTGCACAGCCACAGGAAAAGGACATGTCAGATGGTCACTACCAGTTCAGGATGTCTGTGAAATGCGTACTGCTTTAGCTGACCCTGCTGGATTCCAGATAAAAACAATGGGTAAGAGGAGCAGAAGGATATCCCATGTTTGCTGTCCATCAAGGCTGGAAAATCAAGATGTCCGCCAAGGCAAGCGCCACGTGCTTACCATGGTGGAAGCAACCACCGGCTGGCTGGAAGCATACACTGTGCCCCATGCCACTGCCCAGAACACCATCCTGGGCCTTGAGAAACAGATTTTGTAGTGACACAGCACCCCAGAGAGAACTGAGTCAGACAATGGGACTCATTTCCGGAATAACCTTGTAGACACTTGGGCCAAAGAGCATGGCATTGAGTGGGTATATCACATCCCCTACCACACACCAGCCTCTGGGAAAATTGAACAGTACTGTTAAAAACTACATTGAGAGCAATGGGTGGTGGGACTTTCAAACATTGGGATACACATTTACCAAAAGCCACCTGGTTGGTCAACACCAGGGGATCTGCCAACAGGGCTGGCCCAGCCCAGTCAGAACTTTTATGCAGTATAGAAGGGACAAAGTTCCTGTGGTGCACATAAAAAATGTGCTGGGGAATACAGTCTGGGTTGTTCCTGTTTCAGGTAAAGGCAAACCCACTCATGGTATTGATTTCGATCAAGGAGCTGGGTGTACTTGGAAAGTGCCCATGCGGAGAGTGCCCGAGAGAACTCACCCCAGTGTTGATTTCAGTTCCTCAAGCAATGTCACATGTGACACTCCTTCCATTAAGCCCATTTCCTTCTACCTTTTACTTTGCATAGCCCTGCTACGCATCCAGAAAAGGGGAAGTGGAACCAGTAACTTTGAAGTTAGTATGAATCCTGAAGTGGCCACATTGTGAAACACAAAGTTCTTAACGTACCTATCATTCAAATACCACTGAGCAAATACCTGTCTTTAGGTGGATAAAGAAGAAAGAAGGAAAAAAGAAGAGTAATCACTGCCAAATTTTATAAAATCAATTGTAGAATTCAGTATCCTTCAGGCCCATGACAGACTAAGACTTCCTTGGCTGGATGTTACCAAGGGAATGAAGGTGTCTATATCTGCTTGTTTCCATTCTGCAGTTATAGTTCTCCTCAGAGCCAGAGCACATCATAACTCTCTTCCAGTAATCACTCAAATTCTTCCCCACACAAACCAGAAGGGGACGAAGGAATGTTTTATGACAGATCTTGCCTCAACAAGAAGTGAGAATGTGGCTGTGGTATGCATCCAGATAGAAAAACTGAAGTTCCCCAATATCCCATAGTTTAAAAGAGCTTCTGGATTTCAGTTTTGCTCTGGCCTTTTTTCTGCTGTGCTTCATCAACCTCCAGCGCTGAGATTGCTCCTTACTAAGCTTTAGGTATTGCACAAACATAACAAAGCCATGATCTTAGCTCCTGATTTTCAAATGATTATCGGTTTTATCACTTTATTCACTTTCGTCTTTTGGCAGTGTAACCAGCAAGTCTAGATCTATACTGTCCTCTCCTTCCTCTTCCTTTACCAGTTACCCCCCATAAGTCTTTGTGTTAAGGGATATTGCTAGATACTTTCTGAAGAATTCCACCTGGGAAAATGTCTCTAGTTCTAGGTTCTCTTTCACTTAAACTCATCCTGCTCCATTGGACAATGCATGCCTCATTGGTTAATGGCTTTGGGATTCAGAGTGTGGGTATGTATAGTCTAGCAGCTATAGTCCATTAGTGGGTAGAAGATGTAGTGCTCCTATTCAAGAAACCTGCCTCCAACAATGCCTATTGAATATTCTGGAAATTGAAGAGACAAGAACTACAACAAGCAAACCACAGGCATTTTATACCCTGTTTTGCAAGAAGGGACAAGACACCATTCTGGTTTGTGACAGAGGTGGTGAGTCTGGAAACCTGAGAAGTAATGGGTAGTTTGGCTTAATCCTTTACACAAGGAAATATTGCACCTATTTCCCAGGCATCCGGATATCTTCACATTGTGGGAAAATCAGTGCAAGTCCAATACTCAGCTGGAATGAGCTTGCTCAAATGGGAAACCACACTCCATGATGGTGGAGACAGAACAGAATGGAAAGCGTATAGGACCATGCATGACTGTGGTGCGATATTAGTGACTGATTTTGAATCTGTCACTTTCAGACATCTTAGGAGTTAGTGGAAAAATGTTTGTCTGCTAAAAGAAAATAAGAAAAGCAAGTTCAACCACAGAAACTTGTGTGGAAGGTCCTGCCGTCACATCTCTAAAGAGAAAGGATCCTTTATGAAGGACTTGTTAGAGGTGCACAAACCAAATGAAAGTTCAATAAACACACGGGATGCAGCAGGTAACTGAGACTGATACGTCATTAGCAGGTAATCGGTAATTAAAAATAGTCATAAATGGTGATCCAGGTCCCTGCCAGTATGACTTAGTGAAGTCACAGTCATTTCCTTAATCCTAAATATGCAGTCCCAGATCATCCCTGCTAATGAGCTGACCAGCCTTTCTCAAATGTCCAATTAGGGTAGTTAACGACTCCTGCAGCAGAGTACTATAGATTGGATGTAGACTGATGGCAAACATGTCAGGGCAGCCTATAGCTCAGGATGGAAGTTGGATCATGCCAGAGTAAATGTCTCCCATTCAGGAGCACTTCTGCATGGCCTTAACTGTTAAATGAAGACACACTTTGGTGAAGACAGTTTTTAGAAGGCTAAGCAGACAAGGAACATGATGGTCCTTACCTTAATGTCCTCCAAAAGCTCCTGTCTGTGCTGCCTGATTGTCTCTATTTCAGCCTTTTCAGCTTCACTCAAGTCAGTTGACCCTGGAAGAAGAAACATGACTGTGAGAACAGCGTTGGACCAACCACACCGCAGGAAACGCTGCTTCAACCTCTCAGCGCCTATCTTCTCCTCAGGTCATGCCACAGCAACTCTGATGTTTGTGTTTCAGCATCTATGTGCCCTGCTGTTGCAGCCACTGCACCTCAAGCTTTGCCCTGTAAATTATTCTCAGTCCAGAGTGAGCAGCACAAGCCCCTGTACTCCTCCTAGCAGACAGACGCTGTACTGGTAGCACTCTGATCTAACCCTGAAGCAACCCAACCTATTCAACCAATTTTCCTCCCCATGAGCACAATAAGGAAGTTATACCAAATGCTCCTTGGTGGGTTTTATGTCAGTCATCTTTACGTGCTGAAAAGCTGTGACCTAGATACTTCATCTGCATCCAAACCTCCCATGAAGAGCTATTGGCTTCACGGGCTGATCCACCACAGCTAGATGCAGAAATGTCTTAAGAGAGAGAGCTGAGGTTTTCTAGTCTAAGGGCAGGATATGGCGGGATGAAAGCCTTGCTGAAGAAGAAGCATCTGTGGGAGGCTGCTATTCTGTGGACTACAGACAATGCAGAAATATGAGTAAGCTTTCTTGCAATCTACAGGAAGTCAACCAGATACCAGCAAAGACAAAGTGACCACAAAATGATTCATAAAAGACCTAGAAGAATTGGGGTGACAGCACTGCTGCTAAATATAATCCAGGTGAAGCACAGCCTCTTCATCAAGGAGAAGGAGAAGGCTGTAGCCCCAAGAGAAGCAAAGCACATTGTGAGCCCCAAGAAAAGTCCCAGGCACTCACACAAGGGTAAAAGCACTGGAGCTCCTGGGATGCCACTTCAGAACTTGCAGAGTCCTTGCTGCACTTAAAGAGTGTAAGACAAAGCTCCCCTGGGAAGCCAGGTCAGGCCACTGGATGCCCTGCTCCACGGCTGCATAAGCCAAAATCCCCTGGGCCTCCCATCTTCCTGGAAAAAGGGGAAGTGCCGCCAGATGCCTTGGAAATTCTCTTACTGTCGATCTCACATGAAAAAAAACTGCTATAAATATGACTGGAGAAAAAAGGGGAAGGAGCCAAGTAAGACAAAACAAACGAAAAGGGGACAAGGGCAGTCATCACAGAAGCCGTATGCTTCTTTCCTGCCATGGCCACAACAGCTCAGAGAGACCTGCATCCCACCACCCAGATCTTTCCCACATCCTCCTGGTTGGTTGGGTTCATGTGCTAAGCCTGTCCTATTACTTTTCTCAGGCTGAAGCCTCTCTCCTCTGGTTCCCTCCCACTGTTTTCAAGCATTGCATTCCCTGGGGAGAGGCTGCTGAGTCTCTGGGAGGAAAGCGCCAGGCAAGGAGCCAGCATAAAGCCAGGGCCAGGAAGGACCCATGTACCCTTCCAGCTCTGCAAGCAGTCCTCTTCAAGAGCTGAAAGAAGCTGAGGCAGGTAGAGAGGGACAGAAACCTTGTGGCATACCACAGCTAGCGTCAGACAAACCTATGCGTGAGGGGAAAACAAGCAAGGAAGAAAACAAACAATCAAACAAAAAGAAGCAACAACAACGAACTCTATGCAGTGGCTTTGCTGCTTGGTATTGCTGACTTCCCCTTGACTGTCAGCCCTGTGCCTGTGAGCACTGCCTGGGTCTTTCAGCTTACTTTATGTCTCCTACTATTCTCTCCATCTCCCCGGCTTTATGTCTCTCACCCCTATGGGGGCTGGTAGTTGTGGGTAATTTAATGACAAATCACCACTCGGAAGCTTTGTCCTGTATTTCTTTCCACTGCAGCAGGACAAAGCTGAGGAACCTCCACTTCCCCCACCCCATCAGCAAAGTGTGTGGTGTGGCTGGTTGCTGTGCTTCAGTTGTTCTGTGTAAACTGAAGCAACCTAGAGCATCTTAAAGAGACCCGAGGCTCCCAGAGGACATCATGTCACCCACATGACCCCCCTACCATGACTGTAAATAACTCAGTGTCCCTCCCTCCTGAACATCTCAAAACCTCAGCTCACAAGGGATTTACCTGCCCAGTCTGTCTGAGAATGAGAGAAGTGTGGGAAGGACTGTGTGTGTGGAGAGGGTGGGGGAGAAAAAGCATCTGTGTCATGGAGAAGGGGAGGGAACAAAGGGATAAATAAGCAGGAAAGGGTGACATAGGAAGGAAAAAAAATGGATGGATAAAACTTTCAGGGCAACTTAGATGGAGCTGCAGAAAAGGTCCTTGTGAGGCTTCCTAAGTTTCCTTAGCAGCTTGAGTCCTCATTTGCCTTGGAAAATGATTCTGAGTTTGGTGCCTGCATGTTACTCCTCTTCGCTAACAGAAGGCCTAATGCTGCCCTCAAGGATGCTCTGGGGCTTCTCATCAACGTTATTGCACGCATTGGGGTCTGTAGTTAGGAGAAATGAACTTGTACGGCTTGTCTGGGAAACCATCCATGGAAAAGCAATGAAGGTAGGAAAGGCAGCTGGGCAGATGAGAGCAGGTTGCTTTGACTTTTATTCCCCCTCCACACTGAGAAGAAGCCAAACTGCCAGCAGAAGGACACTCGGAGTGAAGCACCATTTGATTAAATGCTTGCAATGACAGAGGGAATTCATCTCTGCACCAGGCAACTGAGGAGCAGCTTCAGCCTCAAAGTCCTCAGTACCACCAAGTTGCACTTCCCTCTAGGGCTAGGCCAGGACATAGATGAAGCATGGCCCTGGTCAGGGTCCTCTGCACAGGGGGAAATCTCACCCTGGTGAAGAACAACCCACAAAAACACCCACAGGTTTCAGGGAGATGCTGTCAGCCAAACCTACGCTGAAGTCTTCCAGTTCAGACACAACACACAAAGAAATGGTTAGCATCCTCTCCAGGGAGGACATGAAGTTGATGCTTGAAAGTCATTTTCAGAGAGAAAATGTTGAAAGCACATCACATCTGTGGGGCTTACACTTGCTCTTGAGGTTGTTTCCCTACTGTCAGGGCAGACCCAGGTAGAAAAGACCTGCCAGCTCTTCATGAATTTCACAGGCTTGTGTTTTCAGTGCTGTCACTCAAAAGAGAACACAGACTTCAGCTCCAGTTGTGGTGACTTACACTCTCAGCTGACCCATCCGGAGGGCAGGTCGGAGTTACCCAAAGGTCTGGGTACTCATGTGGCCAGCATAAAGTACAGCTTGCTGGTCTCAGTCCCCACAGCAAAGGGCTGTGCAGAGCCATACAGGTGCTAAGTCAGGCTTTCAATCCCAAGCAAAAGTATATGAATAGGAAGACAGCTTTTGGAACACGGATATGTGGGAAGTGAATACCCAGGAGAGCTGGAAGGATGGACTGCAATAACAGTAGGGGGATGTTATGAACAATGACTGCTTCTATAGCACTGTTACAGAGCATCCATATGCTACTCATCTACAGTATAACAACAGAGGTTCAGCTGGCCCATTTGTAAGGCAATACAGGGCTCTGAGTGTGGCTGCTATAGGGTTTGGGCACTTCCACCCATGGCAACACACAAGCAGAGCAGCCTGATGGGCATCTTCTGCCTGGATGAGGCTGTCTGGTGGAAGAATTTCATGTGAAGTTCCTTTTCTTCTTTGATATGGCTGTTGTGTCATCTCCAGCACAGACTACCACCTACCCAACCAGGTACCAGGAGGCCTTCCTAAATTCTCTCCAGCCCAAACTGTCTCCCTCCTGAAGCCACTCCACAATTCTCTTCCAGCTTGTGTCAGAAGAAATTTAACATAGACCTCACATGTGTCTAATTTTCACATTCCAGCCATGGAGGAAAAGGTGTGACAAATAACTTATGTTGTCTCCTGGTCCCCTTCATTCTACATGACAACATAGAGCAATCAGGAAAGCTTCCAAGCACTTTTGCCTATGTCTCTCACCCCACACATCCTAGCACATGATACCAGGGTACCAGTCTGCTCTCCCATGTTTTATACACCCAACTCAAGGATTCGGCATACTGGCTCTGTGGCTTCACCTAGACAGTAGCTAGAGGGTCCTGAGGGAAGCTGGAAGAGGACATCCACTGCAGGGAGGGCAGCCTCCCCACAAGCATATGTCTCATCCGCACGCAGCTGTGGCAGACAGGTACCTAACAGGACGATTGCATCTGCAGGTAGGAGTGACTCCAGGAAAAGCTGTGCTATTGCTGTGTGTAACTTTTAGGACATAATTAACTCAGTAGCACATAACTTAATTGAATGACTGTGTCAGGCCATCAGTTCTGAGAGCCTCAGTTACTATGCCTTTGAAAAATAAGACAATAAGAGGCAAACCCCACCATCACCACCACCTCCTTCCTGCCCAGCTTCTCCTGGAGAAGCTCTGTCCACAGTCGCTTTCATGTGATGAGGGCTGGGTGATCTGAAGAGGTGCACCTTCAAAAACATTCATAGCCAGACGCTCACGAGAGTTTAGCTCCCATAGTCCCACCAATTTCCCTGACAAACAAGGCTGGTGTGTAGTTTTAGCATGCCTGTTCCTTGGTCACCCACCTAAGAACTGAAAGGTGCAGAACAGCTGTTGAAACTGAGTACTGCTTTTTCCCTTCACTCTGTGCTCTGTATCGTATACACAAAAGCCTGTGAGGACGGAGGGTCAGACACAGCAAGGCTATTGCAAGACGATTCCTTTCTTCCTGGCTCTTATTCAACCTGTTCCTGTTCCATTCTTCCTATCTGCTGCTTTTGCACACACACAGCTTCCTCAGCCAGAGGCTGGAAATGTTCAGACTGGCAGTATGCCTTTCCCTGCTGAATCCCAAGCACTTCATCCACCAGCTGCCAAAGCAGGAAACAAAACCTGAGATCTCTCTCAGTTCCTCAGATGTGGTGTATCTCCCTCCACCCACATCTGCCTTTTGAGGTTATTTCAGGACCAGGCAGGCCCACCTGCAGGTGGAGTTTGTAGAACCCTAATACAGCCGTTTATCTTTAACATGGACATAAGAAAGACAGATCCCAGCTCCAAAAGCCTTGCAAGCATGCTGCACTGGGATACCCATGAGCACAAGAGGCAATCCAGCTCCTGCGGGCCCTAGCAAAACAGCACTGAGGAGCCATGTTGCATGAAGAGAAGCCAAAGCTTATAGATGCTCATCCTAAGTATCCCATATACCCCTGAGTCAGTTCCCAGCTTAGCTCAGGACCACCAGCACAAGGGATCACAGCAGTAGACACTCTCAGCACAAAGGCCACCCAAATCAGTGGGAAAATTTCTCTCAAGGGGTAAGAAATTGGCTTACGGGAGAGCAAGTAGAAATAAACCCATGCCTAATGCTGAAGGTTGACAAGGAATTAACTGCACCACCAAGGATCTTCCACCATCTCATTCCTCCAGCTACCAGCCTCAGCATCCTCTCTAGCTGCTGGGATTTCATGGTGTGCTCTGCTCTGTCCAACTGAGCACACAGCCCTCACAGAAAAGGCAAAGGATGGTCAATGCTTACCAGCAGGACAAAAGTCCATCCTGAAGAGAGCAATGTGTTTGCAGCACAAGTGTTGCTCCTCCTTGCCTTCTGCCTGTTCAGATGCTTTACAGAACTGAAATAACTGGGAGCCAGCGACCAAGCTCGTAGCAGCACTGGGGGAGGCGGGTTGCCCTGTGACTCCTCCCTTCCTCTCCTCATCCCTTCGACCACATTTCATTTGCTTGCCTCAGTGAAAGGAGCTGTATGTGCATACCACTGTGAGCTAACAGGGGCCCCCTGGCCACTTCTGACACACAAATCCACAGATGCATTTCCATCCCAGCAGCTTTTCTGGGAACCTCTGAGCATGCATCTCTGATTGAGGGGGCTGAAATGAGCAGTGAGAGGCTTTTCTCTGAGAGACTCTGAGGAGAGAGGTGGGGAAAAAGGGAAGTTCCTGATTCAGAAAACCCATCTGATTTGGGAAGTGGTTTCATTTTAAAGGAACAATTCTTCCTGTGTTAATTCTGTAACAGGGTGGGGTGTGTGTTGTCAATACCCCAAAATTGGAGGATGGTTGATGGCAGGGAGAAGAGTCTCTTCCTTCCTTTCCCTCCCTCACTGCCCACTAAGTGACTTTGAGTCTTGCTCCTTTTTCTCCCACTAACAAACTGTTTTTATCTGGAAGCCTTGTAAATCAGAGTGGAATGGACTGAGGAGGAATGAAGTCTTCTCTCAGGTTTATCAATATTCCTCCTGGTGGGAGGCCTGGCCTTAGAGGACAGTTTTGAAAGCATTTGTGCTGCTCTGTTCGCCTGCGAGGCAGAGGGGTGCCCCTTTTCCTCTGTTCCCTCCACATAGCCCCAGAAGGCTGTATGCTTCCTCTTGAGCTGTATTTGATTCCCATGTGATTTATGTGATAGATCTCTCATATAGGCAATGTGGGAAGAAAGAAGCACCATGTCAGAGCCAGAAGAACTGATGATTGAATAATGGATCAAGGTAAAATTCAAACCAGGTGTGATGCCCAAACAGGGCTCTTGCCTCCTTTATCAGGGCTGAAGCTGTAAAGGGATGGCTTCTCTCCATGCATGAGCACACAGCTCTGAAGCACTCTACATCCTTAGTTCTCTGACCTGTTGCTGTACTCACAGCAGGTTTTGAGCAGGACCACAAAACAGGTTCAGACTTCTACCCAGCATTCTTCCATGGGACAGCAAGGTAAAGTTTGCAAGAGCGTTGCATGTGTAGAAAAATAAGAAATGGCCTTCTGACTTGTCATGCAATCAGAGCTAACATCTCTGTAAGCTTGCCACCATTTAGAATAGGTTTGTGTGAGGCTGAAGGTCCCTGACTCACTAGAAAAGGGAGAGCTATTATCGTCCCACATTCCCATTAACTGAGTCTGGTCTGAGATCGTCTGGAGAGGATAAGTGGCTCTTTAAAAGGCTTGATGCGAAAAGTAGGATCTGTCTGAAAACTCTAGCTAAGGTCCATTGCTCTAGGGCCATTTAACCTCACAAAAGCACAGCTTGCCCTTCCTTCCTCTCAGTCTCTTGTGTTTGCTCTAACCTGTGGTTATGCCATAGCTTCAGTGATGTTATTGGAGAGGACAAGTACTCCAATGACCCTTCAGTGAAGAGTGGGAGATATCCCAACCTTAAAGATGTCAAGAGGTGGCAGAAAACCAGAATGAATCCACATAGGCAGTTGTAGGCAGGGTCAAAAATAACCTGTGATCTTTAGGAAGAGTCAGTGGTAAACATTTAGCACTCACTTCCTGTGGTCAGTGTCAGTATTTTCAAAGAAGCAGCTTGGAGCTTCTCTGGGAGGGATAAAAGGAAGGAAAAGAGAGCAAGCTTTATTTAATGCAAACTGATTTCAAACCATTACACCCATGTCTGCCCTGGCCCTCGTTACACCTGCCATGTCATAAACCCAGCCAGGAAATAAGCACCTCGGCCATTCCCTTCCCTCCCCAGGTGGGATGGGGAGGACAATCGGAAGACTGTAAATCCCATGGGTTGAGATGAGAACAGTTGAAAAACTAAAGTACAATATAATACTATTACTACTAATAATAGTGATAACGATAAGGGAAATAACAAGGGGAGAGAATATAAAACTGAAAGGGAAAAGGAAAAAACCATCAACACAAGTGATGCACAATACAATTGCTCACCATCCGCTGACTGATACGCAGCCCAACCCAAGCAGCAATGATCCCTTCCAGGTGACTCCCCCCAGGTTATATACTGAGCATGATGTGCTGTGGTATGGAATACCCCTTTCACAGTATCACACAGTATGCTGGAGATTGGAAGGGACCTCAAAAGATCATCTAGTCCAATCCCCCTGCCAGAGCAGGAACACCTAGATAACGTTACACAGGAATGTGTCCAGGCGGGCTTTGAATGTCTCCAGGGAAGGAGACTCCACAACCTCCCTGGGCAGCCTGTTCCAGTGTTCTGTCACCCTCACTGAGAAGAAGTTTCTTCTCAAGTTTAAGTGGAACCTCTTGTGTTCCAGTTTGTACCCATTACCCCTTGTCCTATCATTGTTTGCCACTGAGTAGAGCCTGGCTCCATCCTCGTGACACTCCCCCTTTATATATTTATAGACACTTATAAGGTCACCCCTCAGTCTCCTCTTCTCTAAACTATAAAGACCCAGCTCCCTCAGTCTTTCCTCATAAGGGAGATGCTCCACTCCCTTAATCATCTTGGTTGCCCTGCGCTGGACTCTCTCCAGCAGCTCCCTGTCCTTCTTGAACTGAGGGGCCCAGAACTGGACACAATATTCCAGATGGGGTCTCACCAGGGCAGAGTAGAGGGGAAGGAGGACCTCTCTCGACCTACTAACCACCGCCCTTCTAATACACCCCAGGATGCCATTGGCCTTCTTAGCCACAAGGGCACAGTGTTGGCTCATGGTCATCCTGTCGTCCACTAGGACCCCCAGGTCCCTCTCCCCTACACTGCTCTCTAGCAGGTCGTTCCCCAACCTATACTGGAACCTGGGGTTGTTCCTGCCCAGATGCAGGACTCTACACTTTCCCTTGTTATATTTCATCCCGTTATTCCCTGCCCAACTCTCCAGCCTGTCCAGGTCTCGCTGGATGGCAGCACAGCCTTCTGGCGTGTCAGCCACTCCTCCCAGCTTAGTGTCATCAGCAAACTTGCTGATAGTACACTCAATTCCCTCATCTAAATCATTGATGAATATATTAAATAATACCGGTCCCAGTACTGACCCTTGAGGCACTCCACTAGTTACAGGCCTCCAACTAGACTCAGCCCCATAGACTACAACTCTCTGGCTTCTCTCCTTCAGCCAGTTCGCAGTCCACCTCACTACCTGGTCATCCAGTCCACACTTCCTCAATTTAGCTGTGAGGATGCTGTGGGAGACTGTGTCAAATGCTTTGCTGAAGTCAAGGTAGACCACATCCACCGCTCTGCCATCATCCATCCACCGTGTTATTTCCTCATAAAAGGCTAAGAGATTGGTCAAACATGATTTCCCCCTGGTGAAGCCATGTTGACTGCCCCTCATAACCCTCTTATCCTTGATATGCTTTAAGATGGCACCAAGGACAAGGTGTTCCATCACTTTCCCAGGGATGGAGGTGAGGCTGACCGGTCTATAGTTACCCGGGTCCTCCTTCTTGCCCTTTTTGAAGACTGGAGTTACATTTGCCTTCCTCCAGTCCTCAGGCACCTCTCCCGTTTCCCAGGACTTGGTAAAGATGATGGCGAGTGGTCTAGCAATGACTTCCGCCAGTTCCCTCAGCACCCGCGGGTGCATCCCATCTGGACCCATGGATTTATGGACGTCCAGATTGCTCAACTGATCTCTAACCCATTCCTCATCGACTAAGGCAAGTCGCTCCGTCGACCTGACTTCATCTAAGGTCTCAGGGGTATAGAGCTCTTCAGGACTGCCTGCAGCAGAGTAGACAGAGACAAAGAAGGCATTCAGTAACTCTGCCATCTCTGCATCTTCTGTCACCAGGGCACCCATCCCGTTCATCAGTGGGCCTACATTGCCTCTGGTGTTAGTTTTGTCTGCCATGTACTTGAAAAAGCTCTTTTTGCTGTCCTTGACCCTTCTTGCCAGGTTTAATTCTAAGGAAGCCTTAGTCCTCCCAACCTTTGGCTGGTTTCAGTCAAGTGTCCAGTCCTGTCTCTGCTTCCTCCCAGCTTCTTGTGACTCTCCTCACTGGCAGAGCATGAGACTCAAAAGTCCTTGATCAGGGTAAGCATTACTTAGCAACAACTAAAACATCAGTGTTATCAGCATTCTTTTCAGACTGAAGCCAAAACACAGCACTGCACCAGCTACTAGGAAGAAAATTAACTCTATCCCAACTGAAACCAGGACAACACCCAGTGTCCATATTTCATATTTTTCAGAGGCCTGCGTTTAGGTCACAAATTACCAAGAGCCCACTCCTTGTAAACTCAATTTCTGCCTTGAGATTCTGGGCCACATCAGAGGAGAATTTACTGCCCTACCATCCACCATGTCCCAGTTCCTGCACTGGGTCCAGTGTGCCACCTCCAGTCTTTCCATCATTTTTCCACAAAAAAAACATTTAACAGTCTTGCAGCTGACATCAAGCAGACACATCAACCTAAAGCACTTCCTTGAGAGACCTGATCTTGCCTGCCACAGCGGTGGGTGACATATATAGGCTCTCGATCAGGGCTGTAATATATGTCTGTGAGCAGGCCAAACCACAAGCAAAGACCAAAATGGATGTGTCTGTGCACTGCAGAGGTATTCTTAGCCGTCAAACAGAGAGCAATGCAAAACCTGTGCCTGTGTCCCTGATCCATACTTACTTCATCTCTTAACTCCTTGATGCAGCTTTCTTCCCACCTGTCTGCTGGAATCCCTGACTGCCCTGTTTTGAGACCTTACCTGCTACTTTCATTCTCCTGGTTGTGGTAGCTTTGCTTTTAACAGTCGTTGGATTTGATGCACTCTAAATGCTCTCAGGTATTTCATCCAGAAGAGCCTGAATGGGAAATGCACTGTTAAAAAACTACATAAGTGTATTTCATGTAAAAATTAAACACCTGTGAGATGTTTTCTCATAAGGGTACACAAGAAGTGAAACAGCATCATACATCTATACTAGTCCTAGAGCATCTCCCATTATTTCCG